GTGTCATTACGCACTTATGCTGAAACTCATTTAAGTTCATATTTTTTATTCTAAGAGTTATGGCCTTGGTTTCCACGTAGAATAGTGTGGACCCAGCACTATTCTACCATCCTGTTACCGTGTTATCACAGGTTTAGTGTTTTTTTCTTCTCTTTTCTTTTCTTGTGGAAAAAACTGAACATAATTGGAGAAGCAGTAATATTGAATATAATAAAATGAAAAGGAATCAAAATGTCCTCCCAATGTCCTGCAAATTCTTTAATCTACAACGCCTAAGGTGTTGCGGCACTCATTGTCATCCTCAAAGATGAAAAATGAAGATGGCGCTGAATGCCGAAAGGTCTCAGGCGTTGTAATTGAAAGAAATTGCAGCTTGGTGGTAGAAAATTTCTATTTCTTTTTAATTTTAATGTAGAAAGCAGAGGAAAAAATAAGCTCGTCAGTTTCGCGCAATCGATATCTTCTAATCTTTGAACAGTGGCTTGGCGCATTGTGATGTATCGATTGATCGGCCGTTTAAACCTTTGGAAGATGATCGATGAACAGCGTGTTCGCATCGAAGACCCTAATAATCGATTCTTTACCACAGCTTCAAACGGGGAAATATCGATGATCGAATATACACGCTCGTCAGTTTCGCGCAATCGATATTCTCTACTCTTTGATCAGTGGCGTGGCGCGTTTTGCGATATATCGATTGATCTGCCGTTTAAACCTATGGTAAAGGATCGATGAACAGTGTGTTCGCATCGAAGACCCTAATAATCGATTCTCTACCACAGCTTCAAACGGGGAAATATCGATGATCGATTATACACGCCTCGTTTCTGTCTTAGAGGCTTTGCAGCAACTTTTTCTCCTCTCTCGTATCATCGGATTCGTGTGTACGGCTGAAATATGAGGACGACGCCAGTAGAATCCTAGATCAGGGCGCAAGGCTAGTGATAGGACTTCCACTTCCATCGATCGATTTCTAACCGTCAATAAGGACCGTCCTGGCAGTTCGGAGAATGGACGTCTCCTTGTCTCTGATGTCAATCAGTGGCGTGGCGTGAGTTGCGATGTATCGATTGCTCTGCCATTCAAACCTATGGTGAAGAATCGATTATTTAGGTGTCCGCTACGAAAACTCTGTTTATCGATCCTTTTCCATACGTTTAAATGGCATAACAATCGATGAATCGCAAAGCACGCCACGCCACTGATGTCAATCTCGCGTTGCCTAATAGAGACGTTGTGCATGTCGTCTTCGTTTCAGCGAATATTAATTTACGAAACGTCTCAAGCGTCAGAAACTGTTGAGCCTTGACTCGCTTAATCACAACAACTTCCAAGACTCATGAGTGCACGAGGCGCTTGGATCTTTTTGTAAATGAATCGTGCAGATGCAGTCTATGTGAAGGCTCAAGATGCCCGAGTAAGTAATGGATAGTAACAATGGCAGTTGATAAGATAGCAGAGAACTCACTTCCAAGTTCAACGCGTCATGTCTTGCGGCTGCTATCATGAGTACCTCCTCAGGTGAATCCTCAGCTATTATGCAGTTCGCTATTTGCAGTTCTCAATGCACTCTCGTTGCAACAATCCATCTCTTTTAAATCTCAACTACTTATGGGATTATTTTGGCCCCTCCCGATAGTCTGCTAAAGGGAGACGGGTGGGCGTCTGATGGTGACAGTAAAATTGGACCGAGTTTAACAGAAAGGAACCAAGCCACATCAGCTATTGCCAAGTTTAACAGGGCAATTAATTTTTTTACGAGAGAACGTTCGTTCGGATTTCTTTGAACATTTTCAGGAATTTGCTTCGTACCATGGCGAATTTTCACTGAAATTTGCACGAAAATCCGCACAACCGTTTTCATGTAAAAAATTAGATTGCCCTATTAAATTTGGCAATAGCTGATGTGGCTTGGTTCCTTTCTGTTTAACGCGGTCCAATTATAAGGCCATTTTTTTAAAAAAAGGCGTTGACGTATTCTAAATCCTAGGCGAGGGTCATAACGCACTTACGTACTGCTGTGATAAGGAAGAACGCCGTATGAACACTCGAGAGTTGCCAAATTTCCCTTGATAAAACATGTATTTTTCACCACATTCATGCATATTTTTCCTTGAAATTTTCAGAGATTTTAGGTTAAATTGCGTACAAAATTGTCTGAAAATTTTGGTAAATAATATTCGAAATTTTCCCAGTAAATTCGGTTTTTATCGAAGGAAACTTGGCAACGCCTGAAGGTTCATACGGCGTTCTTCCTTAGCATGGCAGCGTAGTGCTCGTTGTCGGGTCTAGCTGTCTCCTACGTTTGCATGTCATTTCTTAGATCTACGCTGCCGAGCTTAGCGGAAACCTCTTATGAAAAAGACGTTGCTGAACTGCCCGCCATAAACCACGATCTTTCGGGAAAATAAACTCTTCTTGTCGAATTTTTCAGAGAGCTACCCTCGAAACTTCTTCTAGCGCGTTCCTGAAGAGGAGAGATATCGACAAGCTCCGTTTTTGGGCCCACCCTCGCTTTTCCTCAACTCTACATCGTTTTGCCAAATCTGCCGTGCTATGGAAAAACGCCGCATGAACCTTCAGGCGTTGCCAAATTTCCACTTATAAAACACGAATTTACTGGTAAACTTGTGAATATTTTTCTTCCAATTTTTCAGATAATTTTGTTCGCAATTTCACCTAAAGTTCCTGAAAATTTTAAGGAAAAGTATTTATAACTCTCGTCAAATATTAACATTTCATCGAAGGAACTCTGGCAACTCTCGAATGTTCATACGGCGTTCTTCCTTAGCATGGCAGAATTGAAGGTATATCTTTTACGGAATGCATCATGATTTGGTCATTTTCTGTCTCTTTTTGAGTCTAATGCCGGCCTAAACATGGGTCTGAAGACTGGTATTGGCGAAAGATGCGGATTATTTGGGATCCGATCGCAAAACCCGCATTTTTCGCCAAAATCAGCCTTCAGACCTATCCAGCGGCCAGTATCAGTATCAGACCCGTCGAGACAGAAAATGATCAATTACGATGCAATCCATTGAGGATAGACCTGCAATCAGCCAAAAATCGTAGAGTTGAGGATATTCAGCTAGGGTGGGCCAAAAAACAATCCATATGGATATCCCTTTTTTCAAAGAAGGACATTCGTAAAACTTTTCTCATGAATGATTTTTTTCACCAAATAAATTTGGCAACATTTGAATGCCCATGCGGCGTTTCAGGACAGCGGTAGTACAGCATTCACCTATAGATTGCCGGTAATTAGCATACTGCTTCACAAATCGTCCCCCTTTGCCCCGCACTACAGTTCCAGTTGCTGTGGGCCCTTTTTCAACGTCCTATTTACCTCAGCATGCCCATTGCCAACTTTCCGAGAATCCCCGGTCTTTTTCAGTGTCAAAGTCAGTCATCAGTGTTAAACAATAACAGTTATGCTGTTGATAAAAACGCTAGGGTTGTCATAGTCAGGGAAAACTGGGAAATGTCAGGGAATTTTAAAAAATCAGGGAAAATGACGAAAATGTCAGGGAAAATTTGTTAAATCACCTTCATTTGCTTTCTAGAAAGGGTTTGAGGTTTCAAACAACAAATGCCTGAAAACTACTTTCAATTATGCCTTCTTAACCATCCGTCACATCTTCAATTGTCAAGGAATTTCACCAAAATCTGAAATCGCAATCTACATGAAATGGTTAAGTAACATGAATCAGAATGCTTAAATTCGTACCTTGTCTAGTGGACCGTTTCTGCGGAATACTCGCTTAATTTTTGAGGAACATATCTGGTTTTTTTACCTTGTCTCTTGAAACATATACGTTATAAAGTAATCATTGCTCTGTTACACGCTCAAGCAGCGTATTGGAAATTGGAACCTGCCCGTGGGAGGCAATAGTCGCGATGGTGTGTGGCGTGCTTTGCGATGTATCGATTGATCTGTTATTTAAACCCATGGAAAAGGATCGATAACCAGGGTGTTCGCGACGAACACCCTAACTATCGATTCTTTACCATAGCTTCAAATGGAAAAATATCGATCATTCACGCTTCGCCACTGGTTGCGATGATGCGTGATTTCGTAATCGACGACGCGTAACGGTCTAACGGGGCCCGGCCGTTCAGTCGTCATCTTGATCATCTACACCGTCGTGCTAAGGGAGAACGCCGTATGAGCCTTCAGACGTTGTCATATTTCCTCCAATGCAAAACGAATCTATTGGGAATGATAATCTTAAAATTTTTCGGACGGTTTTATTCGTAATTCAATCCAAATCATCTGAAAATTTCAAGGAAAAACATGCATAACGACGGTGAAACTACCAAACCACGTATCTCGGTTTGCGACGTCGCAGACTTCCTGTCATACTTTATTTTTTAAATGAAAAACTACTTAACATCCAGTCTTGAAAATTTCTGTGATTTTTTCTCTTTGTGCGGAGAAAATTCCGTGAAAGTTTCAAGGAATGATATTGATTTGGTCTACTTCAAAAAAATAAAATGTGAGCGTAGATTTTTAAACACCGCAAACGAGATACGTGGTTTGGTAGTTTCACCGTCGATAACTTTCCTGAAAAATACATGTTTTATCTGGGGAAATTTGGCAACTCTCGAGTGTCCATACGGCGTTCTTTCCCAGCGCGGCCGAATACAAGCTGGATTTCTCGCCCTTGGAAAATGTGTCAGCCAAAAGCGTAACACGATCGACCGGAGGTCGGAGATCCTCGCTCGAAGTCTTACGAAACCGAAATCCAAATCGTATAGAATTCAGCGCTTTTCATACGATCGAAGGGCATTTTTCTTGTCCTGAACGCTGTAAAGTGTCGTAAACGGCTGATTATTTGGAGTAAAAACAATTGAAAAATCCTTAAACCGTCGCAAGAGGGGTTCCCTACTTTCTTTAGGAAGTAGGACATGTGTTTAGCTGAGAAAATCGTAAAATATTTTCAAATTGTTGTCTCTGATTTCTGTGTGGCCTAAGAGAAAATGATTTTTCTGTTTCGCAGGTCAGTGTTTTGACTACGAGAGTACGAGGGACATAATGTCACCCGGGGTGATTCCTCTTTACCCAGCTCCAACGATAAGCAATGACTCGGATAATGCAAGCGCTGGTAGCAACACCTCTGCCACCTTACAGGTATTCATCTACTACACTTCTCTTTTTCCATCACATTCGTAGTTATTTACGAGTTTTATCAAGTATTTTTATTTTAGCAATAGCCAATAACGGATAGTTTGCAGGTGTCTAAAATCGGAATCATTTCATGTTCAAATTGAAAGTATTGAAAGAACTGAGCACAAGGACTTCATTGAATAATTCCCAGATGAGGTATGACAAAATGACAAACGACAAATCCTCTAAACTAAGGCGTGCGTAAACTCCTCTGTCGAATTACAATTTTAATTTTATTTGAAGAACTGTATCTATTATAATATAAATTGTTGTTTCAGGAGCTTACCTCCTTCATCAAACCCCCCCCCCCCCCCC